CATAACTACGTTACTCGAAGTGCATCCCTACAACACTTAAATCCCGGTTTCTCCAGAATAAATATAAGGAAATTTTGCCCCACTGTTATTGGATGTTGCTATTGGAATGACCTTCCTTTTTCTATACGTAACTTAGCGACTAGAAAACGTTTTAAAAAAGCACTCTTCCAGTATTATTTTGCTCAGTATTAATTAATTCATACCTCTTCCTCTCCTATGTTAAGTTAACTTTTTTACCCTAATTATTATTGTCAATTAAACAAGGGCATATAATTAGCTTGCTATATTTTTGCCCTTTTCCATTTCTCCTCTTACTTGTCTACTTTATATTTATCTTTGTAATTTTAGAATGGAATAAATAAATAAAATGAAATGAAATGAAATAAAAAAATATGTGCGTGGTAATCAGGGTAGCCAATGGCTCTTGAACTGGTTACCACCATGTTAAAGTAAATGCGGAGAACAGAAATAAAAGTCCTATGCCAGTTGTTATCGAGTGGCTATATATGTGTGCCAGGGGGCTTCGATGATGGCTATGCAGCAATTGTAATTTAGCTTATTTGGAACGTCTAATGATGATTTTTGTACATTCAGGCTTGAGAAGAGCCCGCTCACTTGAGCTTCTGTGATTGAAAACATCACAAAACTAGACGAACGGCTATTCCCACACTCTTGTCCGGCCCCACAAGATCCTCTTTCTGATTTTGTTGATATAATTTTTTGGTTCACTTTATACCTTTCGACCTGCTTATATAAAGCTTAATCTTTTGGGTGCTTTCATACGAAATTCTCCAATTTTGGCCTTAACAGCTTGTTTGACAGCTTGTTATGAGAAAGAAATGGAGCCTAGGTGTGCAACATGTTACTACTTGGAAGGCCAACCTAAACAGGGAAAATTCCTTCTCTAAAGTTTTACCAAGGGGGCAACAGGGAGGAAGTTAATAAAATTTATTATTATTAACGTCTTTATTTGCAATATAACTCAAAGAAAAGCTGATTTCTTGACAATTTTCAGTAGCAGCTTGGAAACCTTCTGGCGAGTTCCATTTGTTACTTTGAGCAAGAACATTGCAAACAGTAGTTTGGTTCTGGTAAAGGTCTAGTAAATCTCTGGTATGGTACTTCTTCTGCACGAGTGCCATCATTTGCAATTCGCATTGGTATACATGTAGACATGCCTGATATGAAGAGAGTGATTAGTGTGCCATACACTATGGAAGATTTTTCTTTTAGGAAACTGGATGAACAAGATGAATAGGAAATAATGCAATGTCATGCAATGTCAACACCCAAACAATGTAAGGTCAATACCCATGTGTACCCCTAGTATATACCATATGGAAGGAATTAAATAAACAAAAATAACTAAATAATACACTACAATAAGGGATGCAGGAGGTATTCTTCTCTCTCCTGAAGTACCTCCGTGCCACAGGTCAAAAGGATCGCAGCTCACGACGAGTATTTGAGCACGCATGAGCGATTCACCAGAAGGACAAGAATCTTGGGAAGTCATACTTGAGGAACACTTTCGCTTTTAAGAGTGGAACGCACAGCAACACCTTCCTCGAAAACCATTGCTTTCTGCGAAATTTAAAAACGGTACGTTCAAACAAATTTAAGGTTCATGTATTTATCATTAGGAATCTACAATTTCATAAAACGCGCAGCTCAGACGCCGGAACGCGGAACTAAATACAAAGGCAGTGAAAGTGTCTTCTTCATGTAAGACTGACTTACGTTATTTAGTTTGCTGGGCCTGAAAACGCCTCTTTGCCCATTCACCCTCCAGTTCTCGGAAAAAACAAACTGGTGTTCGCTGCAGTGTGTCATGGGGTATATTTGGTGGTGAATTATTCGCCTCAACACCAATATTAATGTGGCCCGGATTCGCCTGACTCAAGGATCGATGTTGTTTCTTGTTGCTTTCCTTAATTCTCTGCCCTGAGGTTTTCTCTCTTGGTCTCTTTGGTTTTCTTCTCTCTCCAAAAGCGAATATAGCCACTCCGTCTGTAACGGCTTTGGCACTACCAGTTGTTTTATTTTATTTATTTCTTTTATTTCATGGTGTGATGTTTCAGATGAGCTCGGGATGTATTCTTGACTTTTGATCTTTTTAACTGCCAACTTTTCGCGTGACTTGCCACCATGTTTGTAATTGCGTAAGACTACTTTGGCGCGCGGCGTGATCGAGGTGAGCCTGTTATTCAAATGTCTTGTAACTGCTAACACAATCTATATTCATATATTTTATTTCCTACGATCTATATTTTTTTTAGGGACAAAAACAAAATAAAAACTGGCTTGACTCTTGGTTGACTCGAGGTTGGCTCGTGTGTCGCTACAACTCCAACGTTGATAGTTCGGCAAACGAACGCTTTAGTTTGGCTTAGTCTTTTCACGGAGAATTTAGACGCCTCTGGTTCATATTTCTGGATTTCCGCAAAAATTTAGAAAATAATTTACGGACCTACGATGTTCGACAGCTGTTCAGCTGTTCAAAGGATATTTTCCTTCCGAGGAAACGGTGTTGCGTCATGTCTGATAAAGCAGCCACGTGTTTCGATCAAAGCTTGACTTTTTGTGCCTATTGACTCTTACATTATAGTGCAGTGAGTGAAGTATAGCTTTTCATGATTGTTACTGTTGCTTTACTTAATCAGTAATGCTTTTTCCGATAGCAAATGACGGCTGCATGTTTTTGTTCTCAGATCGTGACAACTAAGGTTTCTATGTGTGGGATTTCATGAAAACAGACCGGATTTCGGCTTTAAAGGAAGCCAACAATGACCTTGATTTTTTCTTTCGGTTTCAGGTTTCTTTATGTCCACACAAATTAGAAAACATGGTTCAATGCTTTCCCGGAAATTTTGTTGTTTACGGCGCCGGAAATGGAATGGTCGCATCGAAAAGCCATTTCAGTCTTATCAGACTGATTCTTTTAGTCATTACCAAATGTGCATATATGATTGTGCCTTACAATAATTTGTCGCAGGACATAGTGGATTAAGAACAAAAAAGTTAACCCTATTTCATAATGTACACCTTGTAAAACAGTGCATGAAAACCGTTTCCGCGAGCTTCTTTTCCTTTCTCGGAAAAAATTATATTGTTCGACCCATTTTATTGATAATTAAAAGCTAGTGGTATAAAAAAAAATATCATAGTCATGAATTTTGTGGTTGACGAAAATTGGCGTTTACGGTCTTTACAAAGTGGCGGAGATCAACCGTTGTTCATCTAGATTACGAAAACAACCTCTTAGATGTTCTGGTAGAATATAGATTCAAAATTCTCCTAGCGAAATCTCGAGGTGATGCACTTTGTTGTCTATTGTTGGATAATAGATTTCTTTGTAGTCAGTGGTTTTTTAGCAAAGTGATGTCTATGTGGGGGCGCCAATTTCTTGCCTTGCTCGTGCTCAGTTTCGTTTCCTGGGCAACTTGGGGACTACAATGTTTTGAATTTCGCTTGTTTTGCGTTGTAACTGATTCGAGAGCAAAATCTGAGTTCAAATGAGGCTTTATTCCGATCTTTTAAGACACGTTTTCACCACATCACTCGCAAGCCGGTAACCCTGAGTCGCTAAAGCTTCAAGCAGATTAAATCTTGCAAAGCGAGACTTAGATTGCCGGCTTGCTCAAGCAGCCGCTCACCCAAAGAATATCCAAGCTAAAAAGTAAAACTTGTCCTGACGCTTTAATTGAGCACCTCGGATTCTCGTTTTCATGTCAGTGTCCTTTATTTTAACACACTTAGCGACCAGTCCCACATTTCCATGAATTCCGCCGGTGATCCCCTGCTACGGGCCTGATGTAACTTCCTTCCACAGGCACTCCACATCTCACCATTACTACCCTACCCTTTGTAGAATTCAATGAACGACCTGGTAGAACCCATACACCCCTTGGGACACATGGTCTATGAATCTAGATTAACGCACCAGCTCCTCAGGAGTTCATGGAACTCAGTAGAGCATCCGACTGGTGTTCCAGAGGTCGTGGGACTCTGAATTTTCCCCCGTTGCCTAGCAACTAACATGTAATAGTTATTAGTATAGACCACACAAGTGAGTAGATTTTTTGGCGCGCGATGATTGGCTAACTCGGAGATGATTAGCCAAGTACTATCGAATGGCGCGCGAGATTCTTCATATTGTAAAAAATATTGAGTTTTTGGCGCTTTTTATTCAACTTTTGTGGTATATAGTAGAACAATTACTCACCTCCACATCAGTGAATTATTAATTATTTAGTACCTTTCTTTTTCAGAGATGGGTGGTAGACAAAGCGCAGAGGCCCAACAGCTATATTCTTTTCAGAGATGGGAGGAAATGACAATATCTAAGGGAGATAAAGAGATGACTCTTCCCGCAAGCCCATTAGTTTCCTTTGAGGAGATGCAAAGATGGGCAAAGGCCTCTTGCAAAATCATTTTGGGTCCTTGTTCTTGGGGCTCAGGGTTCTTCGTGGTTTTTCGTATCCATGAGAACCAAGTCTTGTACGGTGTAATGACAAACAATCACGTTTTAGATGAGAACAGGCTTACAGTTGAGCAGAATGTTCAACTTCGTCTTCACAACGATCAGACGATCACTGTGCAGCTTAGGAGAGCTGGAATCCGATTCACCTGTCCTTTGCTTGATGTCGCGTTTATTGAGCTGAAGGAGGTTGATGTCCTAACAGTGGATCATCATGGTGTAAAATTTCTCAATGTTAGTGGTTCTTCCCAGTGTACCCGTCCGGGAACAGAAATAGCCATCATGCAATACCCGAAAAACCACTCCATGCTGGCCTTCGCGCAAGGTACTGTGTATTCGCTTTGGGGAACTTGTATCCTTCACGACGTTTCTACGAATTATGGTTCTTCTGGTTCGGGGATTGTGTCCATGCGCAGTAGAGAGGTAGTGGCAATACATTGTGCGAGACGGCCTGACATGAAAGTTAATGTAGGTGTTAGAGCCTCTGTTGCCATCCAGGCAATTAAAAAAGTTATCAACGTAGACATTGCACATCACAAACCAGCTAAAGATCTCAACCATCGCGAATTACGGGAACTTAAAATGCTTGGCCTCCACCCAACAGAGAACAAGTTTTTGTTCGTCAGTCCGTCAAGTTTTTTTGTCACACCTTTGTGGTTTTATCGCACCAACCATGCCTGGTACTGGACGCCTACCCGACCAGATTCCTACAACGAAATAGAGGAACTGAGAAGAAGCAACTGGCTTGAAATTGGTGTTGACAAGAGCAAAATTGTAATAGGTGGCTACTGGGATGGAGAAACGCCAGCTCCAAGAAATATAGTGCTAATAGATAAACTTGCAGCTACCGGTTTTAAATATCTCGTGTAAATATCTTAAGTACAAGTCCAATATGGTCGAAGACACTAGTTTTCAATCGAATGGCGTAAAACCAAAACCATAAGTATTTGATTTGGCCAATCGTAAGTGAATCAAACAGCACAATGAACCATTCAGAATCCGAATTAATAGACCTTTTAACGGTTTTTGACCCTATTGATTACGGGAGGGGGTGGCAAACACAGTTTAAATTACAGTGAATGTACGGATATTTTGCCCACTTTGAGCCATTATAAATCGTTTAAGGTCTGTCGGAAATCTTCGGAAAATTGTCAAAAACGTCGTCATAGTATGTTATGCAATAAACAGAATACTACATGCCCACTTGTGGATACGAATTTCATCTCCTCGTGTTCAACACTCGAAGATAAAATTCGTATCCACGCGCGGGCATGTAATATCCTCTATTTCTGCTGCGCATTTACTTTTTGTCAGCCAATGAAAAAAAATTCGAACTCTTTGGTGCGTTTAGAGCTACTCGTCAACGACATTTTAAGACGAGTAGCACTGGGGAGGAGAATGGTTCAATACCTCCTCGATACAGAAAAATTCGCTTTTCATTGCGTTCTGACTTGACATAAGTATTAGCACAAGCATAAGAAAAACAACATCTTTTGTACTGCTTGTGTTTGTGCATGTGCTGTGGGCGTCCTCACTACCGTTTAATACACTTATGCCAGTGCTAACGCCTTATGCCGTTGTGAAAACCAGGCTTTACTTTACATGTGTACATGTACTTTGTTAAGCTTTTATAATTATCCATGGGCAATGCTGAAAAAAAAGCAATTACAACATGAACCCACTAAAAATGCAGAACAAACTCAGTGGAACTCTGCTCTTTACTGTAACTTTAATTTATTAACTTATATATTAAGTTTATAATTAAGTTATTCATTTCACTTGACGTAATATCTTATAACTAACTGACTGAAAGGATATATTTTGCCTGTCGACGGTTTAGTCCAGAGCGAAATGGAACAGATATTCTCTGTTTTATTTTTGCAATGTTTCTAAAATAATAATCGTTTCTAATTGTTACCTATATACCGGCAATGTGCGGGCAACACAGAAAGCCTGAAGACTAACTACTTTTACCGCTCGTTTTGCCTCTCCAGGAACTCTACATTTTAGCTCACGTTTTTGTCAGGCGTGGTATTTATAATATATTAAAGTCCCAAATTATTAGCTCCTTACACGTCTCTGATGTCTTATCCGACCACCCTTAGACGGTCAGTAAAATTTAACATAATAAATTGTAACAACATTAACATTTTATCCTAACGTGATGCACAGCAAATGAGTCTTTGAAGTCTAATTTCTTCAGGCGCTGTTGCAAACATTGCTGGTGGACTGTTTCCTAGTCTTATGTGACTGGAGGTAAACTTTGATCCGCATTTATTCAATCCGTCAGTTTTTACTTAGGTCTCATCTTTAGTGGCTCTGCAAATAACAAAAAGATCCATGCAAAAAATTACTGGACGTTATAATGATACAGTACTGTAATAGTAAGGTCTTCTGTCGAAAACGTTAATAAACGTATGATTGCATTTAGTGACGAGGGCTGTAAGGGTGGTGAAAATTCTATTTTCGCGTTTGGCGGCTTTTTGCATCTAATATGAGCTGGAAAGACAACTTCTCTTATAGCTGGTTCGACAGCTCTTGTCAAAAATCATCAAAAGGCCTTCCAAACTGAGGCCGGTATAAAAGGAAGTAACTAAAGTAACACTAAGAAAGGAATTGTGACTGAACCGATTGAAACCAAGCATTATCCGGTCTTACCCTTGATCATCTTTGTAAACTTGCATCTGTTGCTTGAGCACTGCCACTTGGAGTAGCTGCAAGTACTGTTAGAGATGAAATGGAATCAAGGAACTGATGTATATGTACATATATGTATAGAGCTGTTTTCACTACACGATTGGCTTAAAAACCTCGCGCCTCATTTTTATCCAATCAGAAGTCAAGACAAACCAATCGTGACTCGTTTGCACGCGTTTTCCCGCGCTTTGTAACAGCAACATGTAATTACTTCGAGCTTTGATTGGTACTTTCACAGGATTGCCTGTGTCCTTTGTGATTGGCTAGAGTGATTCTTTGGTTTTAGTTTTACGGCACTCAATTGAAAACCACTCTATTCAAACGCTACTATTACGCTATTACGTTGACGCTTCTCTTGATGAATTAAACTGACCTCATAAAATATATGCACTCCATTGTTGCTGTAATGAAAGGCGCGGTGGTGTGTTTTGCATGTGTCTTAAACTCTAAATCCAGTCCCTGTTGTTCAAAGGCTGTAGGAAGCATTGTAAATGTAAAATGCTTCCTAACAAACAAATCACCATCCAATGGATAGCGGTGTACGCTTTGAAGGCAGTGTGAAGATTTCGCACCCAATGGAGTTTGCATTGTTCGAGTTCACACCTTACTTTTCGAGTTCGGACCAAGATATCTCGAACACGCCCTCAGCATTCACTCTCGTATGGCGAGAAAAAGATTGTGAATGTTATGGCAGAAACAGAGGTAAAAGTTCTGAACAGGTACCACCGTTGTAATTTGTACTTGTGGCAATGCTAGTATTTCTGGTGAAATAGTTTTCCTTTAGGTTTCGATTTCCAAATTCAAATTAGCAACATTTTGGGAGCATGCCCCACTGATTCAGCAACCTAGCTCTCAGTGTTTTCATTCACAGGAGTAGTGATACTTAAGGTACTAGAGTATGATAGATTCCAATTTTCTTAAACTCAAGAGTTATACATCAAGATACAGTAATACAAAGGAGGGAGCGACAGGGTGATAAGAACTCTGACGGTGTGAACATGATTGCATTGGGTGCGATGCCTCTTGCTACTCTTCAAACAACCAGGGCCAGATTAAAACGTTTGAGGTTCAAGTCTGCAGTCGTCCTTGACTGTGTCCTTGGATAAAACTGCTCTCTGAGTACCTCTTTGGCGAATACTTCGCCATCTTGCTCTAACATTTAGCCTTTAGGTTTATTACAATAGTATTAGTGTAGCAACATCAGACTCCTTACCACAAGGTACACCGGTCCGGAAGAACAATAAACTCTCCGTGAAAGTACTTTACTCCCTCAAAGTGGCAAACTAATGGGTGATCACAAAACATCATTTCAGTATTAGTTTACTTTATTGACGTTTTTTTTTTTTTTCTCGAACCAAATATTTGCCGAATTGCCGATATTTGCTGGTTAATATTCGTGGTTAATAATTGCAATTACACCAACCTCTAGCGTAATCTTGCGGGCACACTGGACAGCATTTTCCCTTGATTTTAAATGGATCGTCACACAGTGGCTTGGAACAGCGAATCACGGAGCAATTGCCTGTCTGGAATTCTCCACACAAGCAGTGAGCGCATTCACTGAGACTCCAGATCTCACCCTCCTTGTACACCTGTCCTGTCAGTGGGTCAGCGCACTGTGGTGTCTCTTTGAAATCAAAATTTAAAAATTAAATGATAATTTGACGATTTGCCAGATTTTGACCGTTTGAAGGGGTATGTGTGCCAGGTTATGCAAAATTAAATAGATTTAAAAAAAATAAATAATTTTGAGCTGAACCTGTTTCAGCTCAATAAACAAGTTCATCTCAAAATAGGAAGTTTTCGTTTAGCGGTTTCTTTGGTTTCTTTACCCAATCCAATAGAATTCGCTGTAGTATTTTTTAATTTATTTTAATATATAACAGTGAAATAGACCAAAATATTTTGTGTACTTTCAGCTAGTCTGAAGCAAGACTTGATGTTAACCAATCGTGACTGCCTTATTCACGTTTTCCTGCGCTTATGGCACCAGTTTTTTTTGTTGTTGTTTTGTGTTCTGACCGGCTGACCGTACGGTGATCGGTTTTTGAATCAAATGATGGCTCGAAGCCGAACTGACTAATGTTGTGATTAATATTTTAATAATTACATTAGAACTGTTCTCCTTGAACAATCATTTCATTATAAATAATTTTTTGAAGGATTGCAGGAAGAACTTTTTTCTTTGCAACTTACCACTCAATAGATCCATTTGTTGTTGGCTGTCATGTTGACACACCCAGCCTTCCGATTCTTCACATTTGCTTTAATCAAGGAGGAGGAAAAAAACTTCTGTGAAATACGGATTATTGATCGTGACCAAGCGTGAGGCCAAGATGGCTGGATTTTGGCCAATTTCTCTTTTTGCGTGTTTATGAAATGATTTAAGCTCGAGATTGTAACGGGGTTTTCGAGATAACCAAGAAGTAAGAGATAGGGGGTTCATTTGTATTCAGTGGGATACTGATTTTCGAACCTCCAAAGGAAACGAAAATTGGTTTGAAAAATTGTGGGTAAAATTACAGTGTACTACTGTGGGGAAAGAAACGACTCAGTTTGGTTCGAGAAATCGAGATCCCATGGCCACTGTATTTACAACTGGAGCACATGTATGCTTAATCATGAGTATAAACTCCAAGAGAATTCTGTACTTACCAGAGCGACTTACGGTCTTGTAAGACAATGATTTCACTCTGGAAAAACTTCTTTCCATTGAATTTGCAAACTAAGAGATAAAAGGTTCCGTGTGTTAGCTAAAAAAAGACCCTTTTTGTCAAGAAAGATGCATAACTAATCTGTTAATGGTGGCGTTTATCTGGAGCTGCACTATTTATAGAACGAACTCAGAAAAAGAGGTTGTAAAGTTGTTTATCACGCCTCTCGCTTTGGACAAAGGAATACCGCATTCCAAGACGAGCGCGCGTGAAGCCGACCATACTCAATTTCGATCTGTCGCTTTCCGAGTCTCAAGTACGGTCTTCGCTCCTCCCGAGTACGGGCTCCTCAATCCTGAACAGCGACTGCATATCTATCGAGCCAATGTGTAGACGAATTAGGCTGGATTTTCAGCCGGGAGGCCGACAGAGACCGGAAAATGCGCTTCATAAAATTGACTAATCACAGCACAAGTATTGGTATCTCAGAATTAGTGAAATACTCGTTGCATAGAACTAACCTTTATTCCAGCCAGTGTCCAAACAAAATCTACAGCATCTCCCTTCTACACGAGCAGGATTCTTGCAACCAGGAGCATTACACTGTATTGCCCAGCAGTTGAGTCGACCACTTCTCCTGCACACGCATGCTGTACAGGCGAAGTCTCCTCGTATCCAAATCTCATCAACTTGGTAGGATTTTCTTGTGACGAGGTCAAAGCATTTATTTTTCCCACCTGTTGTGAAATAAGAAAATCAAAACGATACTATCAGAATATCACGCGAATTAGCTTGCTTGGCTTATTATTTAGACTACATGCTGGTAGGCAAGTGAAAGATGCCGGATTTTATTATATAGATACGAGTGTTTTGCTAGAAAATATTCATACGAAACTAGATCCGGGACCCGAGTGGCGTATTTTCCATGTCCTCACTGGTGAGGATATTGATGACGTCATGTCTCGCTTTTTCACTGTTCTTCATGCAAACAGTAAGTTTGTCTATAATAAAATGAAAACTATAGAAATAAAAGAAAAGTTATAAAATGAGGATATGAGTTTTATTTTTTCACTTCATATTGGTACTAAATGAATCTTTTTTAAAATATTTCTCGACAAAAGAGAAATTGTCCAAATTTCGTTGCATTTGACCGTTAAAAGCAATATTATACTCACTGGCCGTGCTCGTTCGTAAAATATTGTTTTTACCGCTCGAAAATAAAATTCATATCTTCTCTCCGCGGTATAATATCCTCTCTATATTGTAAACACACCGCTATTCTACTTTTGAAGATCATTTAAAGTGCGACATTTAAAACATAAATTCCTCTGTAGCCAGCTGTTCCAAAGAAGGGTTTTTGAATTTAACTTTGCACTAAGTAGCCTGTGTATATCCGCCCCCTCCCCTCAAAAACATGGGGGAGAGGGAGATCTATGTAGCGACTTCGCTAATCGTGTTCCGCACTCCGTGTAGCTTTTCTGGATTGTTTGAAAAGTATGCTGATAGGTTGTTATACTAATCTGCATTGCGTAAAAGATTTCCCGTTTTTAAATTGGTTAATAGATCATTTTCTCCAAATACCGCTCGAGTACCAGAAACCAGGCATTTTCGATCCGCCATTTTCTCACAACGCGAAAGTTTGTGCCAAGCCGCAGAATGCCAAACATTCTCACATATGTACGAGTTGCGCTAGCAACTACAGATGTACAGAAAATTAAATGCCGGCACCTGATTTTGAGGAGAGGGGGCGGTTGTACACAGACTATGCCCTAAGCTCTTAGCTTCCACTCACCTTTTTCGCATCTCTTCACTTTAACGTTGTCTGGTTTCATGCTGTCGCAGTACCAAACATCATCTCCAGGAACACAAATCAATCCCTCATCACATTTTTCGTCTTGTCTCTCTAGGGGCTCTCTCCTGCATGGTTCCCCAATCGACTTGAGACACACATCACAGCAGCCACACTTGTCTTTCACCACAGCGGTTTTGCAATTTGTCACCGCGGGACACGAGTCCTTCGGGTCGGGACAATCGCCCGCGCTATCACACCAGCAGGAACTGCATTCCGGCATTGGAGTCTGCGCAATTACCATATGTGACAGACATGCTATGAATAACAACGTCGATGACAAGAGGCTTGTCATTGCTGCCATAACCTGGAAAAATTCAAATAAACACCTTTTTTTTTGGTTTCGTAATAGATGCGAGTTCCATAGTTACGCTTGTATTATCACACGATTAATTTGAACGACATTCAAGCTCAAATATTTGAAACACATTTGATAGCATCTTCTAACTTGAGGTAAAATTGAATATAAGCGGTTGACCATCGTAATTTTAAAGGCTCGGTATTTTCCATATAGTATCGATACATTGTAAAGCAGGCAGACAAAAGTAACAAATTATCTGCCATGCAATGATTGTACATGTGCAAAAAAAGTCTCAGAACTGACATTGAAAGAAATAATTTGGGATCACTTGGGAGAATTGAGCTATTGATTCATGTTAGCTTGGATATGCAAACTAATGCAGTTGCAAGTGATCAATTAATTCGAAGATCGACAAGTTCCTAACCATTTGATAGCATTGTTAGATTTTAAATTGTAAAGTGCAAGTGAGTCTATGATTACACCTGCTTTGGTTTTTCTGCAAATGTATCCCAAGGCTATAAAGACCTCACAATTTTTTTTTTTTTTTCAGACATAATACCCTTAACTCGATACGGCCGGAGAAATAAAAACCTTCGATCTAGGTACAGGTAGAGTGTTTACAGTGGAACCTCCATTTAACTAACCTCTATTAAACGACGTCCTCGGTATAACGAACGATCGTCTCACCAGTAACAGTAAAATACATGGAAAAGAACCTCAATATAAGGAAACCTCGTTATAGCGAACATATTTTGCCAGTCCCTTGGCCCTTCGTTAAATAGAGGTCCCTCTGTGTAAACCTATAAAATGAAGTTAAACTGGTTCATATTCCTATGACACTCTCCAATAAAATTAAAGGTTTCGAGTCAGACTGAGACGGGACCTTTCTCCAATTTTTTTTTTTTTTNACAAATTGCGCGAGACGCTGCCTTAAACGGCTTCGAAATTCTTTGAGTATTTCCCAAGGTTTTCGTTACAGTAATAATTGTTTACCCATAGAGTGAACCTTGATTGCACTTCGTATTTTTTTTTTTTTTTTTTTTTTTGAACTTTCTACCATGACCTAAAAAAAATTGTCAGCACTCAGATCATCGCCCCAGTAATAGTAAAATATGTGGAAAAGAACCTCAATATAACTAAACCTCGTTATAGCGAACATATTTTGCCAGTCCCTTGGCCCTTCATTAAATCGTGGTTCCTCAGTACAAACCTACAAAATGAAGTTAAACTGGTCCATATTCCTATATCACTCTCCAATAAAATTAAAGTTTTCGAGACGGGACCTTTCACCAGTTTTTTTTTTTTTTTTTTTTTCCACAAGGATCTAATTAAAAAATGTCGGCACTCAGACGTCCAAGAATTCGAGAACCAAGCTTTTACATCATCGTGATCAGGTGTTGAACAGAGAAGAATCAACCAGGGCAGATTGGCACGAGAGAACTGTTTTTTTATTGGGTCTAGAAGTCAAAGGACAAACACTTGACGAAACTCTCAGCTAGAGTTTCGAGACGACAAAAAGAAAATGTAAGACACTCACGAAGGTGTTATTAATTAAGACATGTAGCCCATACTAGAGAACTTATAAACCAGATTTCTGGCTGTATCTAGATGGATTCTTGCACTGAGGGAAAAAAAAAAAGCTACTCAGCTGCTTACACTAGTTACATTGACAAACTTTGTTCCTCTGAGCGATGATGAATTCCCATAATGAATCAAAACAAAGTGTAAAATGCCAGCTAAAATCCAGCACAAGCTGATTGTGGTTACTTCGCTCGCATACTCCTTGGCTAAGATTAAGGATAGCACATTATCTGTTGAAAATTGAATACTGTTCAATTTGTTATTGTTTTTACTTAAGAGAGCTCAAAAGAGTTGATTCCTTTGCATGTTGTGTCGTCAAACCGCATTAAAATGATCTTTATCTCAAAATAAATGTTTGGTTAAAGGATCTTTTTAATGCAGTAAAACTGCAAGCGTCCTTAATCGTGTTTCAAAAATAATAATAACATAAACAATAACTCATTGTCGAGATTTAAGAGTTCAACGTTATTTGTGTATTTGTACACTGTGCTTTACCTGCTTACAACCGCAGAAGTTTGACCAGTAGGAACTAATTCCGAGTTGGAACGGGTCGAGATAACAAAACGGCATAATACGCTGGCAATACAACCTTTGCAAAATGGACTTGAAGTCGGCACTCCGTTGGTAAATGCCCCCATGCTTTGGCATGTTTGAGGTTGGAAGGTAGCATTTTCTTCTTCTGCTTACAAATTCTTGCATTGAAGTGGGTTAAGTCTCACTCGATTTAATTCAATGACATCGCAGGGTGATTCTGATATCCTATAAAGATCTGCGCCTTTTCTTGTATATAAGATTACAAATTGGTCATACTCTAAGCGAGTCTTACCTTCTTCGCAGACGTTGCTTTGGCGGGGCCTTGTCTATCGAGAGCTAGCTGGACCGCGAAACACCGGTCGGAGTTTCGCCACCTTCTCGAAGATGTATCAAAACGATCTTTTGCAGGATAAAGTTCCGTTGTAATGTAATACAAAACTTGTCAAAAGGTTAGAACTATATTTTTAGGAGATGTGAGGACGAAAATCTGCGGTCCATAAGGGCATACCGCAAGAACACATGGCAGAAAAAAACCTCTTTGTCCCAAATTCAAAATATTTCACTGTTTATAACTCAATGACGAAATAATCATCTGGTTTTTGAATGATGCAGTGCTTTATAAATGTTTTAAAACGTCGTTAAGACGTGTAAATGTGAAAATTTGAGTTTCGTGTCTGACTTCAAACATCATCGATCTTGATCGTTTAGGCCTGCTACATCTGACCTCTCCAAATTAAATATTGCCATGAGAGAATATTTTCAAATATTTGATAAGTGAGTTTGCACATGACGACAAAGTTGCAGGTATCGTTATTTTAATGTTTTATTTGTTCATGTGATTTAATTCTGGTGCAAATTGTTTTAATTCCACCTTAGCGGACTGAGCTGTTAATAAAAATGCGAACTTTTCTAGAAACCTGGGATTAATTTACAAAAAAAATATCATTGTGTTATTGGGGTGCTAATTGGAAAATAATAGCTCAAAGATTCCCTTTCAACTTTCAAGTTTCAAGTTTATCTCTGTTTTGAAAGTATTACTCTTAAGAGTGTTTGATCTTAAAAGGTTGGCACAACTTCAAATATGCACTGTGGCTCTGCGCTGCGGCCCTTTATCTCAATTTCACTCCCACTTGTTGACAAAGGCTGCCGCTTCTCGCAAAGTTTTCACTGGTTCGTAGATCTTATTGACATGTTCGCAAGGAAATATTGAGCAAAAGTAACTTATTTGAAGATAACCGTTTGTAGATTTTATCACTTGCTCATAAAATCGTATCGACTGTATGCACCAGCTGCATCTTGGCGGTTCACAACGCTTATCGGAAAATCTTCTTCTTCTCTTTATCTTTCGCGAATTTCTGTTTACTTAATCAAGCATTATTAACGCGCTTCTTCATGTATTGGAATTCTGTTTTCATAGTAAACAGACTCTAAGCAGGCCTATTGAAGTCTCCTAGGACTGCTAATGATAATGAAGAACCCTGATAAAGTCTATTTTCGGGCCTACAAAGGACAACTAAAGCTGAGGGGTTAATGGGTTCTTGACGTTACAGAAAGAAATCACTTTCAGTTAATCTCTCTATTCGTATGACTTATATTCAAGGAAGTTATAATTAGACATTCTGTCCAAACAACCTAAATTTATAATTAGCCATGATAGGTTTATTTTTGTCCTAAAATGGTCGTCTGAAAGACCCGAAGGTGCGCCACGTCTTAAAACTAATGAAATACCTCAAACAACTCTTTATTATTGTGCTCTAACCCACAGACCTGCCTAAAAATGTTTTTATCTACCCGCTCAGCTACGAATAACAACTCTAGATCTATTGGTTGCAGTTAAATGTTAGACTTTTCAAGGTCCTGCTATTATTTCAATTCTATGTATAACTGGATTTATGAAAATCATGTTTTGGCGAAAAATACGTTCCTTTGCCGATTGCACCCATATGAACTACTACAAACTTTGATTCACGGCACGACTCCTAAAGGCCCCAAAACAGTACTCCAGGCGATGAAAAAAAGAAGACCGCCAATTGAAAGAGACATACGAGAGTGGAGGACAAAAAGGTTGACATTACTTCGAATTTTGTATATTATACTTTCCCTGGCAACAAAAAAACGCTTGAGTAGCGCCAGTAATTTCTTTAACACTATTTTCACAAACCAAGACGTATATATATTAATTGTGTAGCCAAAATTCTATCTTGTGATCGTAAAACCTTCTTCCTTTACACCTATCTACCTCCCACCTGTAAAGGTAAAAGGTAAGTCTGCATACGAGCCAAGTGGACCACCAGGCCGGAGCTTATCCCGGTTTCTGCAGCATGAAGCGACCAGGAGTATTTCTACTCCCCCTCCCCCTCCGGATGGGATGCTAGTCCATCGCAGGGCTACCCCCAGCATTAAGTTCGCCAGCACTGGGTTGAGAGAGGCACTGAGAGTAAAGTGTCTCGCTCGATCCGGAAACGAGCGCACTAACCATGAGGTCATCGCGCCTCCCACCCATAGTCCTATCAAATCTAGCAGCTACATATCACACTTCACACTTTGCTTTATGCTTTTATTGAAGTTAAGAAAATTAAAGCAATAAGCTGTTCCGCTGGTATTATTCAACTAATCTAGGAGGACAAGTTCTTATCAGATTAATTACTTATTTGCCAAGTGACTACTATGTGTTAATGCCACAATTCATGAACTGTCTGAGCGTTCAAATTCTTGTAAAGGGGGACCCTGCGATAGCTCGCATCCCACTCCTGAGGGAATTAGCAATAATACTGGTCTCTACGTTTTACCCAGCGCTATAATTATATTGTTTTGTTTGTGTTTTGCTTCAGCTGTGTTAATTGTTCATGCAAGTCTGATCATGTACAGGCCAGAGTTTTTTTTTTTTTTCTTTTTTTTTTATGCTACTTGGTCTAAGATCGAGCAGAGGCCAGAGGAAAGTCACAGAGGAAACTACAGATAAAAAAATGGTTTGGGTCAATGATCTTAGGATCAAAAGTAGCCGAAGATCAAAGAGTAAACTGAAAGAAAGGCCTGCCTGTAATTATTTAGGAGCACATTTAGAATTATCCTTTCGGAAATTTCTTTTAGGTACCTAGCATTTAAAATATTTAACACAATCTGAAAGCCGGAAATTACACTGCCATATAACCCTGATTCAGTCGCCGATAAAATTCTTCCTGTGAGCTAAAGGAAACTTGTCAGATCCGTTCAGAGATTAAAATTTCATGCAACGTAATTTACTGTTGAAAACTGTTTTCTCTAAAGTCGTCGGCTAAAGTAAAACTTCGGTTATATATTTTTGATTAAAATGCAGTACGTTTGTGACAAACTCTTTATGATGCCTTGACATTGAGGTAAATCTTGGAACTCGAGTAGTTGGCAGTGAAAGAAAATGATCGGAAGACGGCGATGGGGGGAGGGGGGAGCCTTATCAGACATATTCAGTGACTCTGGGCCTGCAATCAAGTTCACCCTAAGTTACGTACCCTTCAGACTAGTTTCCTTTGGAATTATTTTGCTAATAAAAGTTGTGCACACCTGTTTCTAAAGTCAAATGAAATAAGAAAACTCTAGTATATCGTATCTGATTTGTATTAGCCATGGAGCGAGTACCAAGGAATTTAGCGTCTTCTCCCCCGCCCTCCCCGCCCCCTTCCCGTGTGGCATGCTAGTCAAACATAAGCTTCTGCCAGAATAAATTTGCCAATATCCGTCAATAGTTTCCTAGCGCCCATTTATATAAACCTGGTTAGAGAAACACGCTTTGACTTTGAGTATAAAGTATCTTTTCCGAAAACACAGCATACGAGCGACCAGACAAAAAGATACTCAAAACTTGAAAAATTAACAAATTAAATAAATATATGTTACTCTTAATAAACTAACCTCTGTTTAAAGTTCCTTCCTTGATCTTTCAACTCCCCTTTTCCCTTAAATACGAATTAAAGTTCTTTTTCCCAGCACTGTACGATAAACAAACTTCAAAGAGGTCTCGACAGATTTCAACTCCGCAAAGAAGTTTGCAACCGTAACGTAAGTCGCACACTGAGATGAAAGGGTTGATTAGAGCAACAGACTCGTTATAGATAATATGTTTGATTACTGACAAGGTCGAATACATGTTTGACCCAATCTCTTGTCTGTTCATAACTTTATCGTCCAGGACGCCTTTTCGGTTTTTTCTCGTGAGGCAGAAACACTCCATAGATTTCATCAGTTGGCCAAGCAGGAAAATGAACATTTTGCCGGCAGTATGCCGTCTTGGACATACCCGTACGTTACAATGATATAAGAAGCTTTCGTTATAAAGGTCATGGGAAGTGGCCCGTGTTTAGCACTTTTATTTGTCAAGCTTCATAGAAGCCATTTTCTTATCTCTCTTTTTAATCTGGGGCGGGTTGACGAGCTGACGTTACCTCACTGTATAAGCCGATTTATAGAAAGACCCTCCTGGCCTTTACGAACGCAGACAAATTTTTGGAAGTATCACACTGCCAAAAGTAAACAGAACTCGTCCCGTTCACACGTTTCCTATGACGGTTATGATAAAACTGACAGTGATGCCCACATTTGGGTTTCAATTTTTCGTTTTGTTCCGCAATTCCTTATTGACACCTTGAAGGGTCAAGGTATTTTAGTCGTTCAGTCAACATTAAATTCGAAATGAAACAATGACTCAACGACCACACCTCATACACATCTAACACGTCATCTAACATGTCACGTGAGGTAATTTCTATTAAATGGTTGTGATGGTGGTGCCGGTGGGGGTGGTAAATGACCCTTCTCTTCCCACCCCAGCCCCCCGCAAAGTTAACGGCTGCCAAATTCATCATCATCGGTTTTCTCGTTTCAGTGTTTAGATTCTTGTCTTCAACTCTCCTCGTCCAAAAAAATTCAAGAAAGAGAGAATAGAACAAATCTATACAGAGTGTGCGAGAAGAAAAACTGCGCAAATTCAATACCCGCGAGCGCATTTAAGACACACGAGGTAGCGACTATGGCTAGCTATTCGGAGTGAAGGCTCGACTCGCAAGCCAAGGAGCTCACGGTATTTTGAGTTATTTTGGCCGCAAACAAAATTACCTTAAAATTGAAGGAAACCTGAAAATAGTAGTTAACTAAGATGGAAAAACACCATAGAGATAATAATAAACCATAAAAGAACAAGGATGGTTAAGGATTGAGTAGATTAACGCGGATTACAAACGACGAAGTTGAAATATTTAGGCCTAACTTTGGAAGATGCGCAAACCGTGGCAGGAATGAGCCATTTACTCTCAAACTAAATATGCGCAAATAGAAATGCCGGAGTCTATATTTCGACTGCTAGGAGATAAGCAAAGCTCAGCTAGACTTCAAATTTAGCTGATATAGGAAACTTGAAGCATCACGCCGAGAATTAAGCCAAAATAAACAAACAGTGATATAAAATATCTTGTTTATTCTGTCTTAGCCAATAAATAGCTTATAGCTTATTTTATTACACACGCATACATACAAATAAACTCATAAGTTAAACAAAAATAAATATACTCCAACAATATAAATACTTCAAGGTTAAGTTATGGCTTCTAGCACTACGTTTTCGTCTTGAACATCATTTGTGTTTGTCTTGTCAATTCTTAAAGTTTCTTCAGCGACACCATGTGTAAGATTGTTCAATCTGCAGTTTCATATCGATACCGTCTTCCTGTAACAGAGAACAAGAGTAAAAGCAGTTTAGGCTTACATTAACCACGGCACTATTGTTGATAACTATAAAACAGTTAGTTCTTAAATGACGGGAACCGCAGAGAAAAAGACTTTAAATAAATTTTGCCCGCAAAGTTTCAAGAACAACATAGGAGGTTGCTTTTGGCCACGTTTGCAGAAGTGAGTGTTTTCGCTTTGCCTTGTAAAATTAATGAAGAATTTTTTAACACAGTTCTAACTGTAATAATAAGTAAAAAGTATATATCACTGAGAAATTAAAACATTTTATGTTATGATGAGTTGAACTGATATGTTATCATTAACCCGGGAATGAAATGGACTAACGAGGAAAACAAATAATCGTGACTGAGCAGAAAAAAGAACAGAATTGCTTTGTCAGAGAAAGAATTAATTACTTTTTAGGCGCGGGCGGCAAAAAAAGACAGTCCAATATCTAAGCGGAATTTATCTGAACCTCGAAGTCGGAGCTAGTCAGCGCATTTTCTGTGTGGCCATAGATTCAGTGGATTTCTTAAATGAACGGCGACATTTTCATGTCAGATTTCCTGATCAAGTTTACATCTTAATTTTACGGTTTATTATAATTTCCTCTCGATTGTTTCTGTTTACATAGCGCAGAATTGCCTATAGAATAATAGCTAGAGTGTAAAACGTTTCTCAAAGCCTCTTTCTATTCGGCGCGACTCAGTATATATCGATAATATTAGTTTTGCGGTTTTCAAGAAAGAACTTTTAGCATAAGTCATCAGTAAGTTATTTGAATTCCGTCATATCGCTTCTTTAAGTCCTCTTGCATGCTATTTGTAGTTCTTTTTCTTTAACTGTTGCCGTCTATATTCGTTAAGCTGAATATCATGTACGCAAGACGGATGTTGTCGTAATTCTCTGTGACTTAGGGCTACACAACACCTGTTGAGTCTAACTGTGTGGGTGTTAAGAAAAAAATGAAAAGGGCTACAAATCTGGTGCCTTACTTCAGTGCTGAACGCTGACATCAACTGGATCAGTTTCGCTTTTTTTTCTTAGGGCAACCTTTGAGCTTTCGCCTTTTTTTCCCACACCACCACCATCGTTTCACCCTCAAGGCACGTTTAACGCGCTCCGCTACTGCCTGCGTTATATCTGATAAGCTGAGAAGAAACACAAAACAATGTGAAGTTTAGTAAATATTTTTATAGCGGTCTTTTACCGAATAATTTGCTAGTGTCTTAAAACAGAGTTTGGCTGAAGGAATTGAGTAACTGGAACTAGTGCTTTTATGGACAAGGAGCTCAAAATTGAAAACTAGTCTCACCTTCTTTTCGCAAGATTATCCTTTATACCCGACAGCAATCCATCTTCTTTTTCACCATCAGCACTTCGCCAAAGCATGGCTAAGACTGCAATGAATACCACGAGAACTAAAACTCGTCTCATTTCGTGCTAAAATCTGCTAACTTTTCTCGTGTCTTTGTTAAATGTTCACCTTCTTGCTGCAGAACGTAGTTGCAACTGAAAGGAGTTGCTAAACTTTGTCCGTTTTATACACAGCAGGGATTCATGTTGCTACGGTCAGTGTGATATGTCGGAAGGAAATGATGATGTAACGTGATACGTAATTCTCTATATATATCACTTTGTTCCGTTATCATTTGACATAAGGAGCTTATAGACTAACCAAAACATAAAAGGAAACACTCAGTTCAGTCACGCGCGGATTTGATGAAAAAAACTAGAACGCACATAGTGCTCAGTCAAAGACGTAGTTGAGGTTTTCGGAGCACCAATCTTTAGGCCAACCAAACCTGTACAGCTGTTATGTATGGCTTAAAGGAAGTGCAACAAGGCGGAAAAGGTAGCGTTCTCATAAAAATAAAACAACCTACTCAAGCAAGCAAACTTTAGTATTGAAAAATTCGGGAGTCTTACGCCGGAACAGGATATGCGTAAGACGTCTAACATAACCTTTGCAAAGCAACTGAAGCGTTAACAAATTTGCGTCAAGGGGTGGGCAATTTGAGACGTTTCACTGAACAGTGATCCTGTGTAAGATGAAATACTATTGTGGTAAATCGAAGAGAGGGTCTTATGAATATTTTTTTATGGATAACGCAGGCAGACAGGCTGGATTTCAGAACCCCTCACCTGTGCAAAACAATAATGACAGTTTTTGAGGGTCGCTAAGGGCAGGGAAAGCTAAGAAAAATAGAACTGCAATACGGCTAAAACGCTTGCAAAATATGTAAAATGTGCGAAAAAAAGATAAACAACTGTGCTTAACTGATACGAAATTATGTCTTAAAATGGATAAAATATACGTTCTTCCGCTAAACAAATATCGATCGGACTAGTCGACCTCAACGACATGCACTGTGGTTTTAATGTTTAGCAGTAACCTTGGTTTCCAGTACAAAACAAAAAATTACTGCTAGACAGGTTGCGATACTAAGACCTTGACCATTTAAGTCAGTAATGTATCAAAAAAGAGCCAAAAACTTTCACTTATTTTAATAATGTTGACCACGAGATTTATAAAAAGCTTTTTCATGTCAGAACAAACAGCTTATCCGCTTTCTTCCGCTATAAACAACATAACGGCTTTGGTATTACCTCTCAGGGAGCTGGGCCGTGTTTCATTCGCTAGTTGCCCACAATTGCCAGTGGTGAAATATTATTTATACTCACAGAACTATACGAAAAAACTGTATCTTCGCCCGGCTACAAACAATTTCTATATAATTCCGTCTTCAGCGGTTTTACACAGTTGAACTAGTTCATATAATACCGGTTATTATAATGAATTCTTCTCCCGGGAAAGTTTGTTTTTAAAGAAGTCATGAAAAAAAAGCTA